CTGCTAGGTAACAGGGGCATTCAGGGTGAAAGAAACTTTGCCCATTTGTTTCTGCCTCGTGTGGGAATCGAACCCGCGCCACAGAATTACGAGTCCTGCGCGCTATCCACCAGGCTACGAGGCCCCCTACACTGCGTCGGCAACACACTTGCCACATGTGTCACTTCTGACCCATACCCGACTGACAGGTGTCTAGTAAATATGTGCCCAGGCCTGATATATACAGTGTTATGTAGAATTATTTCCACCTTTGACAGTACTCTTACTTTTTTTTTTTACTCCACTACGGGCTCACCATAGCCCGTGCTGCTTGGAAGCAGCGAATCTTAAACAACAACAAACTCCTACATTGTATTCCATAATACACCAAGGATGCAAGAGAGGTATTACATTGTATTACATTGTCAGAATTTCTCTTTGTCTATTGACTAGTTACTCAACCCTCTCGTTAACTGCCGGATGTGAGATTATACTTTAAAACTAAAAATAAAGAGTCGAGAGCAGCCCCCAAGAGTCCAGTTCCTTAGTATCGTCTATCAACTAGCTCCTTTAGCTCCTGAACAACTTAGGGCACTGATAAGGATAACTCTTGGGATCTCGCACCAAATTTGTATCGGCGTGTGTGTGTGTGGCTATGAATCAGTCGAACCAGAATAGACGAACTACTGTCCGTAGTTCGAATGGGCAAATTGATGCTAACTGAACACCGGAATCTCGTTTGGACTCAAGATTCAAAATCAAAATAATTCCAGTCAAACAATTGAACAACTAAACAACACAAGAGTAGTTAACGAGACAGTCTCCTGTTAACTACCTCAATTACGTTAACACGTCTCTACAGACAGTAATTAAAACAATAACAACTACATTACAGCTCCATCACACAGACAAGAACAATTGATTACAATCAATTTAATCAAAATAAACAATTAACTTAATTCATAATTACATCAATTACGTTAATTACTTTGTGTTCATTAATTACCTTAAATACTGTCAAAGGTAATTTATGTTAATTACAGTCTGTCACTACAAACACATTAATAATTATAACGATAATTTTCCACTAATTACCCTGCCACAAAAAAAACAATCAGTGAGTAATTACATTAATAACTGCCACACGGTCACTAATTAATCAAGACGAATTACATTAACCCCACGCTATCACTTGAGACAACTTAACAAACCAGAAATTAGTCATTAACGTACATTACGTTAATTAGTCATTACTTGAAATACACCGAATCAATGGAATTATTTCAATGACTCAGTTAATAACTAAAGATTACATAATTACTTCTCACACAGACAACTGAGAACACGGAACAAGTGATATATCAGATCACTAATTATACCACAACTCAAATCACCATATTAAAGTAATTAATAATAATTAGACAAACTATAATTCAGGTAATTACTCAGATGAAATCTACACTAGGAATTTATACACGAATACAGAGGTCAATTTAGAGTACTCAAATATAATGGCATTTATGTATGTAAAGTATGTATGTAAAACCTACTTGCCCGTTTTCTGTTGTGGGTCCTCTGGTAGGTTAGGATGAGGGCACGTTAGTACGACCGTTTCTTGACGTTGGGGGCACCTGAGGAGGACGGGACTGGATACAACACAGGTTGTGGAAGACATCCAAGGAATTGTATCAGTGTACACAACAATGATGTCCCAGAAAGTTGTGATGGACGGCACTATGTATAGCCACTCCGGCCTGGCACTTTCCTCCCTGGTAATTCCCCATTTGGGGTGGACGGTAGAGCGACGGTTTGGCGTCATGCAGGTTGGCGTTCAATCCCCCGACCGTCCACAAGTGGTTGGGCACCATTCCTTCCCTCCGTCCCATCCCAAATTTATGTATAATAGAGAGGAAAATAATGGGCAGAAAAGATTTTAGACATTTGCTTGGACAAGTATAGCAAAATTTGTCCATATTTGGTCTAAATGAATAAATGGCGACCACCTGAACCCTCGTTTTCTACGGCACAGCCGCCAGCAGCACCAAACACGGGGAGACTATGCTAAATTGTCAGACATTTCGTGGCAGTAACAAGTCGTGTTGTAGTGTAGTTAAAGATGGTTGACTAGGATTGTATGGTGAGATAATCACTATACAATTAACCGTCTGGTTAATCACCCTGTTAGGTCATTAGAGTGATGCGTGGTACAAGCGGTACCACGAGTAACGGTCAACCATATAAAATAGTCCAAGCGCAGTTAAAAGCTCTGTACCTCAAGGTACAGTCCTTGCACCACTGCTGTTCCTTATTCTCATATCAGATATAGACAAAAATACAAGTCACAGCTTCGTGTCATCCTTTGCAGATGATACAAAAATCAGCATGAAAATTACCTCGGCTGAAGACATTGATAAACTACAAGCTGATATTAATAAAGTTTTCGATTGGGCATCAGAAAATAACATGATGTTCAACAGTGATAAATTCCAGGTTCTCAGGTACGGCAAAAATGAGGACCTTAAACATAATACAGAGTACAAAACACAATCAAATTTGCCCATAGTAGGAAAACAGCATGTCAAGGATTTGGGAATAATGATGTCTGACGACCTAACGTTTAGGGAGCATAACCAAGCAAATATTGCGGCAGCCAGAAAAATGATAGGATGGATTACGAGAACTTTCAAATCCAGAGATCCGATCACAATGGTTGTACTCTTCAAGTCACTTGTGTTGTCCCGTCTTGAGTACTGCTCAGTACTCACTTCCCCATTCAGTGCAGGAGAGATTACTGAAATAGAGGGAATACAGAGAACATATACGGCACGCATAGACGAGATAAAACACCTAAATTATTGGGATCGTCTCAAAGCTCTCCAAATGTACTCTCTAGAAAGGAGACGAGAGAGATACCAAATAATATACACATGGAAAATACTGGAGGGACAGGTCCCTAATCTACACAGTAAAATAACAACGTACTGGAGTGAACGATATGGAAGAAAATGCAGAATAGAACCAGTGAAGAGCAGAGGTGCCATAGGCACAATCAGAGAACACTGTATAAACATCAGAGCTCCAGTGAAGAGCAGAGGTGCCATAGGCACAATCAGAGAACACTGTATAAACATCAGAGCTCCAGTGAAGAGCAGAGGTGCCATAGGTACAATCAGAGAACACTGTCTGAACATCAGAGGTCCAGTGAAGAGTAGAGGTGCCATAGGCACAATCAGAGAACACTGTCTGAACATCAGAGGTCCAGTGAAGAGTAGAGGTGCCATAGGCACAATCAGAGAACACTGTCTGAACATCAGAGGTCCAGTGAAGAGCAGAGGTGCCATAGGCACAATCAGAGAACACTGTATAAACATCAGAGGTCCAGTGAAGAACAGAGGTGCTATAGGCACAATCAGAGAACACTGTATAAACATCAGAGGTCCAGTGAAGAGCAGAAGTGCCATAGGCACAATCAGAGAACACTGTATAAACATCAGGGGTCCGCGGTTGTTCAACGTCCTCCCAGCGAGCATAAGAAATATTGCCGGAACAACCGTGGACATCTTCAAGAGGAAACTAGATTTATTCCTCCAAGGAGTGTCGGACCAACCGGACTGTGGTGGATATGTGGGCCTGCGGGCTGCTCCAAGCAACAGCCTGGTGGACCAAACTCTCACAAGTCAAGTCTGGCCTCGGGCCGGGCTTGGAGAGTAGAAGAACTCCCAGAACCCCATCAACCAGGTACCTGCCCAACCACCTGGCTAACACCAGCACCTGTGAGACGGAGCTCTCAACACAGGTGAGGGAGGAGGGAGAGTTCGAGAAGAGAATATGTGGAGTTGAGCATGTGAGGAGTGTGTCAATATGGCAGTGGACTGGCGTGTTGTGTTGTGGTGACCTCTTGTATTAACCACCAGGCCTGCCACCACTGCCGCCACGTATTATTGTCCCCACCACTACTGACGCCACGTATTATTGTTCCCACCACTACTGCCGCCACGTATTATTGTCCCCACCACTACTGCCGTCACGTATTATTGTTCCCACCACTACTGACGCCACGTATTATTGTTCCCACCACTACTGCCGCCAGGTATTATTGTCCCCACCACTACTGCCGCCACGTATTATTGTCCCCACCACTACTGCCGCCACGTATTATTGTCACCACCACTACTGCCGCCACGTATTATTGTCATTACCACCACCACCACTACTGCCGCCACGTATTATTGTCATTACCACCACCACCACTACTGCCGCCACGTATTATTGTCACCACCACTACTGCCGCCACGTATTATTGTCATTACCACCACCACCACTACTGCCGCCACGTATTATTGTCACCACCACCACCACTACTGCTGCCATGTATTATTGTCCCCACCACTACTGCTGCCACGTATTATTGTCCCCACCACTACTGCCGCCACGTATTATTGTCCCCACCACTACTGCCGCCACGTATTATTGTCCCCACCACTACTGCCGCCACGTATTATTGTCCCCACCACCACCACCACTACTGACGCCACGTATTAATGTCCCCACCACCACCACCACTACTGACGCCACGTATTATTGTCCCCACCACTACTGCCGCCACGTATTATTGTCACCACCACTACTGCCGCCACGTATTATTGTCCCCACCACTACTGCCACCACGTATTATTGTCCCCACCACTACTGACACCACGTATTATTGTCCCCACCACCACTACTGACGCCACGTATTATTGTCCCCACCACCACCACCACTACTGACGCCACGTATTATTGTCCCCACCACTACTGCCGCCACGTATTATTGTCCCCACCACTACTGCCGCCAGGTATTATTGTTCCCACCACTACTGCCGCCA